GTTCCCCGTGATGCCGATGGGGTTGAGGAGGTCCTCCATGCCGTGTGGCAACGGCCACAGGTGCAAGGCCTGCTTGCCTGATGCCAGCACGTCGTTATAGTCAAACAGGTTCACGTTGCCCCATGCCAGCGGGTAGTGCTCCTACAGGCACACACACACACACAGACAGATACACACACAGATAGATAGATAGATACACACACAGATAGATACACACACACACAGATAGATATACACACACACACAGACACACAGACAGACACACACACACACACAGATAGACACACACATAGATAGACACACACACAGATAGACAGATAGATACACAGCGGCCACAGATGCAAGGCCTGCTTGCCTGACGCCAGCACGTCGTTATAGTCAAACAGGTTCACGTTGCCCCATGCCAGCGGGTAGTGCTCCTACAGGCACACACACACACACAGACACACACACACACACAGACACACAGACACACACACACAGACACACACACACAGATACACACAGAGAGATAGATAGATACACACACAGATAGACACACACAGACACACACACACAGATACACACACACAGACACACACACACACACGGATAGATACACACAGATAGATAGATAGATACACACAGACACAAACACACACAGATACACACAGATAGATAGATACACACACAGATAGATACACACACAGACAGATACACACACACACAGACACACACACACACAGATAGATAGATACACACACAGATACACACACACAGATAGATACACACACAGAGATACACAGATAGATACACACACAGACACACACAGATAGATACACACACAGACACACACAGATAGATACACACACACACACACAGATAGATACACACACACACAGATAGATACACACACACACACACAGATACACACACAGATAGATACACACACACACAGATACACACACAGATAGATATACACACACACAGATACACACAGATACACACACAGATAGATAGATACACACACAGACACACACAGATAGATAGACACACACACAGATACACAGATAGATACAGAGATAGATACACACACGCACACACACACAGATACGCACACACATACATACACACACAGACACACACAGATACACACACACACAGACACACAACAAAGACACACACACAGATACACACACAGACAGACACACAACAAAGACACACACAGATACACACACACAGACACACACACAGACAGACACACACACACAAAGACAGACACACACACAGACAGACACACACACACAAAGACAGACACACACACAGATAGATAGATACACAAACGCAGATAGATACACACACACACACAGACACACAACAAAGACACACACACACAGACAGACACACACACACAGATACAACAACCGCCATTCGCCACTAAGTGGCGGTGACGTCACCACGACGCTTGTGCCAGGCCATGTGCACCCTGAGGCCACGTGAAGTGTCGAACGCCCGCTGGCAGGAGGTCACGGGGCAGACCCAGGTGCCACGGGTCGACTGACTGAGCTGACTGGCTGATGCACCACCTGTGCCCCCTAGTGTGCCAACTTGCTGTGATTTAGCCACCCAGCGCTCCGCTCATTGTTGTGAGCGTCGCTCCTCCGCCCTCCGTTGTTGTTGGAGGGCGACTGCCTCCAACTGCCATTAGCAGCGTCCTTCACGAGCCTCCTCCACAGAGGCCGATCTTGACACCGCTGGTACCGGTCATCGGCAAGTCCACTCAGCTCCACGTCCTCCTGTACCACGTCACTCCATCTCTTCTCTAGGCCCGTGCCTCCTGTACCACATCACTCCATCTCTTCACTAGCCCCGTGCCTCCTGTACCACATCACTCCATCTCTTCTCTAGCTCCACGTCCTCATGTACCACATCACTCCATCTCTTCTCTAGCCCGTGCCTCCTGTACCACATCACTCCATCTCTTCACTAGCCTCGGCAAGTCCACTCAGCTCCACGTCCTGCTGTACCACGTCACTCCATCTCTTCACTAGCCCCGTGCCTCCTGTACCACATCACTCCATCTCTTCTCTAGCCCCGTGCCTCCTGTACCACATCACTCCATCTCTTCTCTAGCTCCACATCCTCCTGTACCACATCACTCCATCTCTTCTATAGCCCCATGCCTCCTGTACCACCTTACTCCATCTCTTCTCTAGCCCCGTGCCTCCTGTACCACATCACTCCATCTCTTCTCTAGCCCGTGCCTCCTGTACCACATCACTCCATCTCTTCACTAGCCCGTGCCTCGTGTACCACATCACTCCATCTCTTCTGTAGCCCCGTGCCTCCTGTACCACATCACTCCATCTCTTCTCTAGCCCCGGCAAGTCCACTCAGCTCCACGTCCTCCTGTACCACATCACTCCATCTCTTCTCTAGCCCCGTGCCTCCTGTACCACGTCACTCCATCTCTAGCCCGTGCCTCCTGTACCACATCACTCCATCTCTTCACTAGCCCCGTGCCTCCTGTACCACATCACTCCATCTCTTCTCTAGCCTCGGCAAGTCCACTCAGCTCCACGTCCTCCTGTACCACATCACTCCATCTCTTCTCTAGCCCCGTGCCTCCTGTACCACATCACTCCATCTCTTCTCTAGCCCCGTGTCTCCTGTACAACATCACTCCATCTCTTCTCCAGCCCCGTGTCTCCTGTACCACATCACTCCATCTCTTCTCTAGCCCCGTGCCTCCTGTACCACATCACTCCATCTCTTCTCTAGCCCCGTGCCTCCTGTACCATGTCACTCCATCTCTTCTATAGCCCGTGCCTCCTGTACCACATCACTCCATCTCTTATCTAGCCCCGCGCCTCCTGTACCACATCACTCCATCTCTTCTCTAGCTCCACGTCCTCCTGTACCACGTCACTCCATCTCTTCTCTAGCCCCGTGCCTCCTGTAACACATCACTCCATCTCTTCTCTAGCTCCACGTCCTCCTGTACCACATCACTCCATCTCTTCTCTAGCTCCACGTCCTCCTGTACCACGTCACTCCATCTCTTGTCTAGTCACGTGCCTCCTGTACCACATCACTCTATCTCTTCTCTAGCCCCGTGCCTCCTGTACCACATCACTCCATCTCTTCTCTAGCCCCGTGCCTCCTGTACCACATCACTCCATCTCTTCACTAGCCCGTGCCGCGCCCGTTTAGCCCCCTCGATCCGGCCGAACAAAAGCTGTTTCGGCATGCGGTGGCTGGGAGTGTGGTGACTGGGAGTGTGGTGACTGGGAGTGTGGTGACTGTGAGTGAGGTGACTGTGAGGTGACTGTGAGGTGACTGTGAGTGAGGTGACTGTGAGTGAGGTGACTGTGAGTGAGGTGACTGTGAGGTGACTGTGAGGTGACTATGAGTGAGGTGACTGTGAGTGAGGTGACTGTGTGTGAGGTGACTGTGTGTGAGGTGACTGGGAGTGAGGTGACTGTGTGTGAGGTGACTGGGAGTGAGGTGACTGTGAGGTGACTGGGAGTGAGGTGACTGGGAGTGAGGTGACTGTGAGTGAGGTGACTGGGAGTGAGGTGACTGTGAGTGAGGTGCCTGTGAATGAGGTCACTGTGAGTGAGGTGACTGGGAGTGAGGTGACTGGGAGTGAGGTGACTGTGAGTGAGGTCACTGTGAGTGAGGTGACTGTGAGTGAGGTGACTGTGTGTGAGGTGACTGTGTGTGAGGTGACTGGGAGTGAGGTGACTGTGAGTGAGGTGACTGTGAGTGAGGTGACTGTGAGGTGACTGGGAGTGAGGTGACTGGGAGTGAGGGGACTGTGAGTGAGGTGACTGGGAGTGAGGTGCCTGTGAATGAGGTCACTGTGAGTGAGGTGACTGTGAGTGAGGTGACTGTGAGTGAGGTGACTGTGAGTGAGGTGACTGAGTGAGGTGACTGTGAGTGAGGTGACTGGGAGTGAGGTGACTGTGAGTGAGGTGACTGTGTGTGAGGTGACTGTGTGTGAGGTGACTGTGAGTGAGGTGACTGTGTGTGAGGTGACTGGGAGTGTGGTGACTGGGAGTGGGGTGACTGGGGTGACTGTGAGTGAGGTGACTGTGAGTGAGGTGACTGTGAGGTGACTGTGTGAGGTGACTGTGTGTGAGGTGACTGTGAGTGAGGTGACTGTGAGGTGACTGGGAGTGAGGTGACTGTGAGTGAGGTGACTGTGAGTGAGGTGACTGTGAGTGAGGTGACTGTGTGTGAGGTGACTGTGAGGTGACTGTGTGTGAGGTGACTGTGGGTGAGGTGACTGGGAGTGAGATGACTGTGAGTGAGGTGACTGTGTGTGAGGTGACTGGGAGTGAGGTGACTGTGAGGTGACTGTGAGGTGACTGGGAGTGAGGTGACTGTGTGTGAGGTGACTGTGAGTGAGGTGACTGTGAGTGAGGTGACTGTGAGTGAGGTGACTGTGTGTGAGGTGACTGGGAGTGAGGTGACTGTGTGTGAGGTGACTGTGAGTGAGGTGACTGTGTGTGAGGTGACTGTGTGTGAGGTGACTGTGTGTGAGGTGACTGTGTGTGAGGTGACTGGGAGTGAGGTGACTGTGAGGTGACTGTGGGTGAGGTGACTGGGAGTGAGGTGACTGTGTGTGAGGTGACTGTGAGCGAGGTGACTGTGTGTGAGGTGACTGTGAGTGAGGTGACTGTCTGTGAGGTGACTGTGTGTGAGGTGACTGGGAGTGAGGTGACTGTGTGAGGTGACTGTGAGTGAGGTGACTGGGAGTGAGGTGACTGGGAGTGAGGTGACTGTGAGTGAGGTGACTGGGAGTGAGGTGACTGTGTGTGAGGTGACTGTGTGTGAGGTGACTGTGAGTGAGGTGACTGTGAGGTGACTGGGAGTGAAGTGACTGGGAGTGAGGTGACTGTGAGTGAGGTGACTGGGAGTGAGGTGACTGTGAGTGAGGTGACTGGGAGTGAGGTGACTGTGTGTGAGGTGACTGTGTGTGAGGTGACTGGGAGTGAGGTGACTGTGAGTGAGGTGACTGTGAGTGAGGTGACTGTGAGGTGACTGGGAGTGAGGTGACTGGGAGTGAGGTGACTGTGAGTGAGGTGACTGGGAGTGAGGTGACTGTGAGGTGACTGGGAGTGAAGTGACTGGGAGTGAGGTGACTGTGAGTGAGGTGACTATGAGTGAGGTCACTGTGAGTGAGGTGACTGTGAGTGAGGTGACTGTGTGTGAGGTGACTGTGTGTGAGGTGACTGGGAGTGAGGTGACTGTGAGTGAGGTGACTGTGAGTGAGGTGACTGTGAGGTGACTGGGAGTGAGGTGACTGGGAGTGAGGTGACTGTGAGTGAGGTGACTGGGAGTGAGGTGCCTGTGAATGAGGTCACTGTGAGTGAGGTGACTGTGAGTGAGGTGACTGTGAGTGAGGTGACTGTGAGTGAGGTGACTGAGTGAGGTGACTGTGAGTGAGGTGACTGGGAGTGAGGTGACTGTGAGTGAGGTGACTGTGTGTGAGGTGACTGTGTGTGAGGTGACTGTGAGTGAGGTGACTGTGTGTGAGGTGACTGGGAGTGTGGTGACTGGGAGTGGGGTGACTGGGGTGACTGTGAGTGAGGTGACTGTGAGTGAGGTGACTGTGAGGTGACTGTGTGAGGTGACTGTGTGTGAGGTGACTGTGAGTGAGGTGACTGTGAGGTGACTGGGAGTGAGGTGACTGTGAGTGAGGTGACTGTGAGTGAGGTGACTGTGAGTGAGGTGACTGTGTGTGAGGTGACTGTGAGGTGACTGTGTGTGAGGTGACTGTGGGTGAGGTGACTGGGAGTGAGCTGACTGTGAGTGAGGTGACTGTGTGTGAGGTGACTGGGAGTGAGGTGACTGTGAGGTGACTGTGAGGTGACTGGGAGTGAGGTGACTGTGTGTGAGGTGACTGTGAGTGAGGTGACTGTGAGTGAGGTGACTGTGAGTGAGGTGACTGTGTGTGAGGTGACTGGGAGTGAGGTGACTGTGTGTGAGGTGACTGTGAGTGAGGTGACTGTGTGTGAGGTGACTGTGTGTGAGGTGACTGTGTGTGAGGTGACTGTGTGTGAGGTGACTGGGAGTGAGGTGACTGTGAGGTGACTGTGGGTGAGGTGACTGGGAGTGAGGTGACTGTGTGTGAGGTGACTGTGAGCGAGGTGACTGTGTGTGAGGTGACTGTGAGTGAGGTGACTGTCTGTGAGGTGACTGTGTGTGAGGTGACTGGGAGTGAGGTGACTGTGTGAGGTGACTGTGAGTGAGGTGACTGGGAGTGAGGTGACTGGGAGTGAGGTGACTGTGAGTGAGGTGACTGGGAGTGAGGTGACTGTGTGTGAGGTGACTGTGTGTGAGGTGACTGTGAGTGAGGTGACTGTGAGGTGACTGGGAGTGAAGTGACTGGGAGTGAGGTGACTGTGAGTGAGGTGACTGGGAGTGAGGTGACTGTGAGTGAGGTGACTGGGAGTGAGGTGACTGTGAGTGAGGTGACTGGGAGTGAGGTGACTGTGAGGTGACTGGGAGTGAAGTGACTGGGAGTGAGGTGACTGTGAGTGAGGTGACTGGGAGTGAGGTGACTGTGAGTGAGGTGACTGGGAGTGAGGTGACTGTGTGTGAGGTGACTGTGTGTGAGGTGACTGTGAGTGAGGTGACTGTGAGGTGACTGGGAGTGAAGTGACTGGGAGTGAGGTGACTGGGAGTGAGGTGACTGTGAGTGAGGTGACTGGGAGTGAGGTGACTGTGAGTGAGGTGACTGGGAGTGAGGTGACTGTGAGTGAGGTGACTGGGAGTGAGGTGACTGTGAGTGAGGTGACTGGGAGTGAGGTGACTGTGAGGTGACTGGGAGTGAAGTGACTGGGAGTGAGGTGACTGGGAGTGAGGTGACTGTGTGTGAGGTGACTGGGAGTGAGGTGACTGTGTGTGAGGTGACTGTGAGTGAGGTGACTGTGTGTGAGGTCACTGTGAGTGAGGTGACTGTGAGTGAGGTGACTGGGAGTGAGGTGACTGTGTGTGAGGTCACTGTGAGTGAGGTGACTGTGAGTGAGGTGACTGGGAGTGAGGTGACTGTGAGTGAGGTGACTGGGAGTGAGGTGACTGTGAGGTGACTGGGAGTGAAGTGACTGGGAGTGAGGTGACTGTGAGTGAGGTGACTGTGAGTGAGGTGACTGTGAGTGAGGTGACTGGGAGTGAGGTGACTGTGAGTGAGGTGACTGTGAGTGAGGTGACTGAGTGAGGTGACTGGGAGTGAGGTGACTGTGAGTGAGGTGACTGTGAGGTGACTGTGTGTGAGGTGACTGGGAGTGGTGTGGCCGGTCACGTGGTGTGGCCGGTCACGTGGTGTGGCCGGTCACGTGGTGTGGCCGTCCACGTGGTGTGGCCGATCACGTGGTGTGGTGGTGTCCCACCCCCCCCCGCCCCACCTCCTTGGCTCCCTTGCGGCCTTTGACGGAGCAGATGGAGAGGCAGAGGCGGGCAGCACGTGGCAGATCAACGATACCAACGTCGTACGTCAGCCACTCGTTCCATCTATAACACACCACACACAACACTCTTACTACACACTCTTACTACACACTCACTACACTCACAGCACGTGGCAGGTCAACGATACCAACGTCGTACGTCAGCCACTCGTTCCATCTATAACACACCACACACAACACTCTTACTACACACTCTTACTACACACTCACTACACTCACAGCACGTGGCAGGTCAACGATACCAACGTCGTACGTCAGCCACTCGTTCCATCTATAACACACACAACACAACACACTATTACTACACACTCTTACTACACACACTCACACACACTCACTCACCACTCACAGCACGTGGCAGATCAACGATACCAACGTCGTACGTCAGCCACTCGTTCCATCTATAACACACACAACACTCTTACTACACACTCACAACACACACTCACACACACTCACCACTACCACACACTCACTCACCACTCACAGCACGTGGCAGGTCAACGATACCAACGTCGTACGTCAGCCACTCGTTCCATCTATAACACACACAACACAACACACTCTTACTACACACACACAACACACACACACACTCACTACCACACACACACCACACACTCACAGCACGTGGCAGGTCAACGATACCAACGTCGTACGTCAGCCACTCGTTCCATCTATAACACACACAACACTCTTACTATACACACTCTTACTACACACACTCACACACACTCACTCACCACTCACAGCACGTGGCAGGTCAACGATACCAACGTCGTACGTCAGCCACTCGTTCCATCTACACTCAACACACACACAACACTCTTACTACACACTCACAACACACACTCACACACACTCACTCACCACTCACAGCACGTGGCAGGTCAACGATACCAACGTCGTACGTCAGCCACTCGTTCCATCTATAACACACCACACACAACACAACACACTCTTACTACACACACACAACACACACTCACACACACTCACTCACCACTCACAGCACGTGGCAGATCAACGATACCAACGTCGTACGTCAGCCACTCGTTCCAGCTACACTCAACACACACACAACACTCTTACTACACACTCACCACTACACACACACACACTCACCACTCTCACTCACTCACAGCAGATCAACGATACCAACGTCGTACGTCAGCCACTCGTTCCATCTATAACACACACACAACACACACAACTCTTACTACACACTCTTACTACACACACACTCACTCACGGCAGATCAACGATACCAACATCGTACGTCAGCCACTCGTTCCAGCTGTACACACACACACAACACACTCTTACTACACACACACTCACTCACGGCAGATCAACGATACCAACATCGTACGTCAGCCACTCGTTCCATCTATAACACACACAACACAACACACAACTCTTACTACACACTCTTACTACACACACACTCACTCACGGCAGATCAACGATACCAACATCGTACGTCAGCCACTCGTTCCAGCTGTACACACACACACAACACACTCTTACTACACACACACTCACTCACGGCAGATCAACGATACCAACATCGTACGTCAGCCACTCGTTCCAGCTGTACACACACACAACACACAACACAACTCTTACTACACACTCTTACTACACACACACAACACACACTCACACTCACCACACACACTCACACTCACCACACTACACACAGCACGTGGCAGATCAACGATACCAACGTCGTACGTCAGCCACTCGTTCCATCTATAACACACAACACACAACACACACAACACACACACACAACACACACAACTCTTACTACACACACCACACACACTCACAGCACGTGGCAGATCAACGATACCAACGTCGTACGTCAGCCACTCGTTCCAGCTGTAACACACCACACAACACACACAACTCTTACTACACACACACAACACACACTCACACACACTCACTCACCACTCACAGCACGTGGCAGATCAACGATACCAACGTCGTACGTCAGCCACTCGTTCCAGCTACAACACACACCACACAACACACTCTTACTACACACACACAACACACACACTCTTACTACACACACTCTTACTACACACACACAACACACACACTCTTACTACACACACACACTCACAGCAGATCAACGATACCAACGTCGTACGTCAGCCACTCGTTCCAGCTACAACACACACAACACACACACTATTACTACACACTCACTCACTCACCACACACACCACACACACTCTTACTACACACTACACACTCACAGCACGTGGCAGGTCAACGATACCAACGTCGTACGTCAGCCACTCGTTCCATCTATAACACACACAACACAACACTCACTCTTACTACACACTCAACACACACTCACACACACTCACTCACCACTCACAGCACGTGGCAGATCAACGATACCAACGTCGTACGTCAGCCACTCGTTCCATCTACACCACACACCACACACCACACACACACACACCACACACAACTCTTACTACACACACACTCACCACACACTCACAGCACGTGGCAGATCAACGATACCAACGTCGTACGTCAGCCACTCGTTCCAGCTATAACACACCACACAACACACTCACTATTACTACACACTCACTCACCACTACCACTCTTACTACACACACACACCACACACACTCACCACTCTCACTCACTCACAGCAGATCAACGATACCAACATCGTACGTCAGCCACTCGTTCCATCTATAACACACACACACTCACCACTATTAATACACACTCACTCACTCACACACACACCACTACCACTCTTACTACACACACACCACACACACTCTTACTACACACCACACACTCACAGCACGTGGCAGATCAACGATACCAACATCGTACGTCAGCCACTCGTTCCAGCTACAACACACAACACAACACACTATTACTACACACTCACCGCTACACACACACACTCACCACTCACAGCACGTGGCAGATCAACGATACCAACGTCGTACGTCAGCCACTCGTTCCATCTATAACACACACCACACAACACTCTTACTACACACACACTCACTCACACACACACCACTACCACTCTTACTACACACCACACACTCTTACTACACACACACTCACTACACTCACCACACACACTCTTACTACACACACACTCACTACACTCACCACACTCACTCTTACTACACACTCACTCACCACTACCACTCTTACTACACACTCACACACACCACTCACTCACAGCACGTGGCAGATCAACGATACCAACATCGTACGTCAGCCACTCGTTCCAGCTACAACACACAACACACACACAACACACTCTTACTACACACCACTCACTCACAGCAGGTCAACGATACCAACATCGTACGTCAGCCACTCGTTCCAGCTACAACACACACACAACTCTTACTACACACTCACCACACACACTCTTACTACACACCACACACTCACAGCACGTGGCAGATCAACGATACCAACATCGTACGTCAGCCACTCGTTCCATCTATAACACACAACACACACACAACACACTTACTACACACACACAACACACACTCACACACACCACTCACTCACTCACAGCAGGTCAACGATACAAACATCGTACGTCAGCCACTCGTTCCAGCTATAACACACACAACACAACACACTCTTACTACACACACACAAAGACAAAGACAAAGATCCCCCTTATAGCCTTAACAGACTGTAGGGGCAAGTGCTGTTAGCGAGCACCTATGAAGGCCGGATCGGTACACGAGGGGGTGGGTGGCCAGCACCACGCCCGACCGCCTTTGTCTCCCTAGTGGCAATGTTTACACACCGCACCAGGTACTCATTTGAGGCTGAGTCGACCTAGGGGAGGCCCGGGACCGGTTCAGATAATCGTCGCTGGTGTTGGCCGTGAGCGGGAATCGAACCCGGGTCGCCAGGTTCATAGCGCAGCGTAGCGCTAACCGCGACACTATCGCCCCCCACACACACACACACAACACAACACACTCTTACTACACACACACAAAGACAAAGATCCCCCTTATAGCCTTAACACACACAACACAACACACTCTTACTACACACACACAACACACACTCACACACACCACTCACTCACTCACAGCAGGTCAACGATACCAACATCGTACGTCAGCCACTCGTTCCATCTATAACACACACAACACACACACAACACACTCTTACTACACACACAACACACAACTCTCACTCACTCACGGCAGATCAACGATACCAACATCGTACGTCAGCCACTCGTTCCATCTACAACACACACCACACACAACACACACAACTCTTACTACACACACTCTTACTACACACCACACACTCACAGCACGTGGCAGATCAACGATACCAACATCGTACGTCAGCCACTCGTTCCATCTATAACACACACACAACACAACACACTCTTACTACACACACACACCACACACTCTTACTACACACTCACTCACCACTACCACTCTTACTACACACACTCACTCACTACACCACTCACTCACAGCAGATCAACGATACCAACATCGTACGTCAGCCACTCGTTCCAGCTACACCACCCACAACACAACACACACTCTCACTACACACACACACAACACACTCACTCACCACTACACACACACTCACCACTCACTCACCACTCACTCACAGCAGGTCAACGATACCAACATCGTACGTCAGCCACTCATTCCATCTACACTCAACACACACCAAACACCACAACACACTCACTACACACTCACTCACTCACCACACACTCTTACTACACACTCTCACACCACTACCACTCTTACTACACACACACTCACCACACACACAACACACACTCACAGCAGGTCAACGATACCAACGTCGTACGTCAGCCACTCGTTCCAGCTGTACACACCACAACACAACACTCTTACTACACACTCTTACTACACACACACTACACTCACTCACCACTCACAACACACTCTTACTACACACACAACACACACTCACCACTCACTCTCACTCACTCACGGC